GAGCTATGGTCCACTACATTAAACCCAACACTGAACAAACATTGTACAAGTTACACACTGCAGCAGATTCTTAATTAAAATCTTCTGCATAAATAAACTCAACTTCACAACATATAAACCACAACCACTATAGAGCCACATCAGCCCGTCTGATAATATAATTCAGCTTTGCACACATTTGTTTACATTTTACAGAATGAAACTTAAACCACATGCTCATTTGTATAAACTATAGCTGAAAAAACCAAAAACAAAACAGCTCTTTGCTTGTGCACTGATGTGGTCAGCTAAAAGACATGACTCAGTGGAAAATGAGTGTTCTCTCTGTGACAGAGGATGTGCTGATGATGCTGAGTCTGTTCTGTGTGTATCACATTGGAGATGGTTTATGTTTAATTTTTCAGAGATCATACATGTACAGGTCATAGGAGTGCAGATTGTACTTGTGCAGGTTTAGCGCAGCTCTTTATTTAACAGTCATTTCACTCATGTTTGGTCACTTTATTTATGTTGGTCACCTTATTTATGTTGGCTACTTCTGAAGTCCCAGGCTGAAACTATATGGCCTGAATCTCACTACCTCCCAAATAGCCTTAACATTACATTAACATTCACCTAGTCTTAACATTGCATCAAATATTCACCAAACATTATGCCACTTACCTAGTCTAGCTGGACTTGCTCGTTGTAGAGATGAAATTAAGGGAAAACTCACCAAAGGTTCCAAACAAGTGATTTGTCTTTGTCTTATTTTTTGGCTTTTTAATTCAGGTTTTACTGTGTCATTCTGTGTCTGGAGATATCAATTATTGCTGTGCCAAGCTCATTGACTCAAAGTTAGGAGACTTGAATAAACGACCGTGGTCAATACACAGCTAGATACGGTGTTTCCAGCTACTCGATGATTACAAGTTTACTCAAAAGCTCAAATACAGAATAATTAGGACAAACCACTATACAAGTACCATAGGAGTATTTACCCTGTGACGAGGTCTGGTGCAGAGCGCTGCNATCAATCAATGGTTTAAGCATCAATCATACACAAACTGGCACATAAGAAAATCAAACTCACCGTTGACACTGGGCTGGAGAGCCAACAACCCACGGCAGAGTGGCTTAAAGGTTGTATAGAGATTTTCCAAGGAACGAGAAATCCAGCGACTGTTTGTCCTTTTTCAAAATGTTGCATGCGTGAAACCACCCCCCCTCCCCTACAGCTCCTACGTAGAAACGCCTCCTCCCGCTCCTCCTATGCCAGAAACAGGTTTGTTTACAGCCGTGCTGCACATGATTGTAAACAACTAACTACAGTGTTGGTTAGGCAAGACGGAGAAGTGAGGAGCGGGGGGAGTGGGTGCGCGGACATTTCGTTCGCGGACGAGACTGAGGAGCAGGGAGAAGAGCGGAGCAGGGAGAGAGGGAGAGGAGAGAGGAGAGGGGAGCGGTGCGCGGAGATTCCGTGCCTGGAGAAGTGAGGAGCAGGGGGAAGAGTGGATCGGGCAGCGGGGACAGGAGCAGGAAAGGGGAGCAGAGAAGGTTGCGCGGAGATTCCGTGCGAATGAACTAGCTACAACACGCAGCAGCAAGCGGACTCTTTCTTTGCCTTGAAAATTACGATTTCAGACATAGGATATCGCTTTCGTGTCCTGAAAAACGTTTGACTAGCTCTTGGAAATAAAGTACGTTTCATAATAAGCAGAAGGACCTGTCCAGGAGTAATTTGGCGACAGTGCGTCAGTCTTTAGACCCTGCGTCTGCTTCAGTCGTGCCATCGCTGGAATGAATCTTCAAGAATCACCTTAGTTTAGCTTCGCTGCTTTTCCCCTTGTCTTCTTCTTTCAGCGACCTCAAAAACGGACTTTCTTTTGCGGCGAACTGCTCCTGGATTTTGTCTGCCATTGCAACAAACTTTGTGCTAACTGCGAGGAAGATATAAGTAAAAAAAAGCCGCTAAGAACTGTTGCGTTGGTGAGTAAACAGCGTCTGTGCGGCTTGCGTCTGTGGACTGCGTGACAGGCGTACGTAAACCACGTACCGGCGGCGCGCAGGCAAGTCAGTTACGCTAGAAACGTAGGGAGTTTGATTGACAGCCTGTCAGCTAACAGATAACGAGGCAGTGTCGTTGGCAAATGTTTAGCCCCACCACGTCCAGAGTTGATGAATTTTTATTCTTTTTTTTTGGTCATCATAATTACAAGGCTACTGCACCTCTATAATGCTATCATTGACAACTTGAAACAAAAAAACAAAACAAAAATCCTCCATACAACCTTTAAACCCGGCTGGGCGTTCGTACGCAACCCGCAGCAGACTCTAAAGTGGGTGCTTTCCCTCCGCCTCTATATATTCTCTTCATGCACCTGTGCGTGCAGAGAGGGCCAGTCTCCACCGCGCACACATACATGGAGGCGCATTCCTGTCCATGTCCAGTCTTTGAAATGGCAATGGGCAGGGTGCCCTGTTTTTCGTAAAACACAGTGTCCTTGGCACAATCCCCACTAGAAATCGAGTTGTATAAGCATAAATGACTTCGTGCAGGCATGCAGGCCTATGAATTGATCCGGACCATTTATGTCCCTACAATGTTCTATCAAAACTCAACCAATTTAAATTACAAAAATGTATTCCCCTGACAATACAATTCTAATACAGAGCTCTGGGTCAGATCGTTGTCCCTAACTGCCTACAAAGTTACAGAGGGCTTACATCAGGCATCTGACCCCTTCTGAATACTTCAACCCAGTTTTTATAAACATCCATATGAATATGCATATAATATGTTGAGCAGGTTCCCGCCTTGAATCGTCGCCTTGAAGTGTCAGCATTTCTTCTTTGGGGGAAGTGACAACCCCCTCCAAACCACTGTAAATTACACCAAGTCTGTTTAGATAAGCCAGCTCAATATGTAAACTTCATTAAACAATATTCAAACCACCACTTGATACAGCCTTCACTAGAAACACTGTGTAAGGGGTTTAGTTTTTTGCTACACTTTGCTTTACACACTATCTAGCATTAGGACCACTTGAATGTGTTCCTCAGAGTAGAACTAAGCACAGAGTGACTAACACTAATGACTAGAAAAGGCAAAAGGGTGAGATTCCCTGTGTAGCTGAGTGTAAAGACGGGCTACTTTCTCATGAGGGAGAGTAAATTCAAAGGCCTAGTACATCTCTTCCAGGTTTAAGAATGTATATATTATCTTTTCTAAATATAAAATGTATGAAGAAGACTAAAAATGTATGCCTGTTCTGACCTGTGGCAACCCATTAAAAAAGGAAAAAAGGAATGAAAGAAACAAAATGTTTGAAAAGGAAAAAAGAAAGACAAAAAGAGGAAGTTTTATTGTTTTATATGCAGAAAATTGTGCTTAAGTAGAGTGTGACAACAGAAGTAAATTTTTGTGCATCCTTGGATCAGTCAAACTGTATGTTGTGAACTGTGCAGTGTCAGAATCGCTGAAACATCTGAGTCTGTGTCAACATTGTCAGCAAGAAAATAAGATGCCGTTAACGAATCCACCAATTCAGTTAACGGCTCCCCTAATTCTTAGATATTTTTATTTTTTTTATTACCTGGTCCCGGAAGGGTTGACCAGGTTTAGTATTCACCCTGTGTGTCTGTGTGTCTGTCCACCCACGATAATTCTGCCATTTATGGACCAACTGTCACCAAATTTGGTACATAGGTCAAACCCCTGTGCCCGACGTTTGGTGTCGAGGTCATTTGAGAGTCACACGGGTCAATTGAAACGTCACGCCGTTATAAAGCACAGGCGATTTTGGCAATGTCTGAACCATCTGTGGGTTAAAATATTCACCTAATCATTACACAAGTCGGCACACACATAACTGGGGTACACTGGATGTTACAGGCTGAAACTGGGTCAAGCTCACTTGAAGCTCAAGTTAACCAAGGTCAAATATGCGTTTTTGGTCATAACTCCGCTCGTTTGTGTGGTGGGGCCTCACACTTCTCTTTCTGCTGTCGTTAGTGCCTATTTGTGCTGTTCTAAGAAGGGCGTAGTACACACTTTTGTAGGAAATCTTCAGTTTCTTGGTAATTTCTCACACAGAATAGCCTTCATTTCTAATAACAAGAATAGACTGTCCAGTTTCACATGAAAGTTCTCTTTTTCTGGCCATTTTGAGCGTTTAATCGGCCCCACAAATGTGATGCTCCAGATACTCAACCTGCTCAAAGGAAGGTCAGATTTATAGCTTTTCTAACCAGCTAAACTGTTTTCAGCTGTCCTAACATGATTGCACAAGGGTTTTCTTATCATCCATTAGCCTTCTGACACAATACATAAACACATTGTACCATTAGACAACACTGGAGTGACAGTTGCTGGAAATGGGCCTCTTTACACTTATGTAAATATTGCCCCAAAAACCAGACATTTGCAGCTAGAATAGTCATTTACCACATTAGCAATGTATAGAGTGTATTTCTGATTAGTTTAAAGTTATCTTCATTAAAAAAAACAGTGCTTTTCTTTCAAAAATAAGGAAATTTCTATGTGACCCCAAACTTTTGAACGGTAGTGTATCCTGTGGTCCAAAGCAAAAATAAATAAATAAATAAATGTGACAAAGACTTTTTGCCAAAATGTTATTTAAAATAATAATAATAATAATGAAAGCTTTTGAACATCAGCCATCTGAGTGTGCTATGCATTTTTTCACTTTTAAATTTTGTCACATTAGTCTTGCACATAGTAGTAAGACAAAAACTAGCCTAGAAGTATAGTTACTTCAAAACAGCAGTAAGCACTTGGTATGGTAAAAAGAGATTTAAGTAAAAAGTACTTGGTGATAAACCTACACTTACAGTTACTCAACAAAATGCAACTAATAACTACCCTTTGCTTACTACTACTACCTCATACAGTATCTACTGTACTTTCCAAACTGTGTCCAAGTATCTGTTTCTTTGAGTTTGACTGTTTCTTGCCTTCCAGGGCTGTGTTCTGATTGGCCGTAGAGTCCACTCGTCACATCTAAGTCCCGCCCTCTGCCTCATAAATGTCCAGCCCCAGCTCATACCAGGACCTCCAGTCTCCAGAACTCTCCACTCCTCCTTCCTCTGGTCCTGTAGCTGAAAAATCTGCAAAAATGGATCAAGTAAGTTAACTTTTCTTAATATTTTTTATATTGGGGTTATTCTGTGCATATATATATATATATATATATATATATATATATATATATATATATATATATATATATATATATATATATGGGGTGGTCAGTCCTTGAATGGGAGACCGCTAGGAACACAGGTACCACAATGAGCCACCAGTGGCTCTTGGGGTGGGGAGGGGGTGCAGCTTTAGGTCCAGTAAAGTGTGTGATTTTGATTGTCTGTATATTGTGTCTGGCCCTCTTATCTTTATAAAAGGCTCATTATGAAAGGTGTTTTTTCACATGAAAACAAATGAAGAGTTTAGTGAAGGTTAAACTTGGCACTTAGACTCTGGCAGGTTGAGGTGTAATGAAGAACTGTATGAACTTTATGCTCTTACTGTTTCAAAAAGTACTACACTCACAACTGAACCTGTGTTATCAGAGTCTTAACCTGCAGATAGAGACACATCTAAGTTTGTCTCATTCTCAGTTTATGGACAGACTGTGCCTCAAGTGAAAGCTCAGAACCTCCAGAATTCCTTCACTGAGCCTCATGTATTTCAGTTGTTCATATGATTTACTGTATGTCGTTCTTTGTGCCCACAGTGTGCAATGATTGTGAAGAACATGTCCTTTAAGGTGGGACAGACCCTGACTCTGGTGGGAACGATCAAACCTAACCCCACAAGGTAACTCCATTCGACATGAGGTCAATAACCAATACTTGTGTGCACACTTTTGTATAAACTTAAAATAAGAAACAAAATACTTCTTTTTACAGTTTTAACTTGTCTTTTGCATTAAGTCATTTTGGGAATTACTAGGTTTGTTAAAATGAATCTTAAGATATTAAAGGTCCTATATATTATGTGAAATTGTGAGCTTTTAGCCATGATGTGTTTGCTGTTGTGTTTTGTTTCACTCACACAGTAGTGGTAGTTTTAAAGTTAGGCCATGTTATAATTTATTATAACATTTTAAATCACAGTATTCATCTAAGATCGCTGAGTTCTGTGTTAGAAAACTGCGATACCCACTGGCAGCTGATGGCGCAGGAAATGTCATCACAAACTCCAGTGGTAAATGCCAGATCACACTAGCGAGTAGCAGATTTTTTATTTTCATTTGTACTGAAATGCGACATTTGTAGCATTTGCGACACTGCCGACTGCTACACATGTCACAGTTTAAGAAAAGAAAACTGGAGAACAGATACAAGTACAAGTACAGAGCAGCGGTGGTTAAAAACGGAAGTTGAGCAGAAATATGGCGTCTTGAAAATAAACGATTAAATATTGCTCAAACATGCATGAATGACTCCTAAATCACTCCTAATAAACTTGGAAATGGTCAGTGAGAAGAGGAGACAACTGGGTCCGGTCAAGCGGTAACGGAGGGAAACAGGGACAGATTTTTTACATTCAAATGTCTCTTATTCAGAAACTAGAGGGACTATTGAAATAAGTAAAGTATCAGAATGTAGGAAAGAGTTAACACTCCAACAGGGTAAAGTTAAACCTGTGATATTCTTTCAAGTTGTTGACAAAAAATTTTAAAACTCATGTCGGTAACGGAGGGAATGAAATATGCAGCACTTTTTGGGCAATAAATACAAACAGTGATAACTCTTGGTTCTCACTTACATATCCTTAACAAACTGGTTTGAATATTTGCTTCATATAGTTTTCTACCATATGGTACAAGATTAGGTTGAAAAACCTTTTACTTTTTGAGTAATGAGATTTTTTATTAAGAAAGGTCATGGTAACGGAGGGAAAAGTAACGGAGGGAAAATTGTGCAAACAAGTAGAAGGTGCATGATTTTGCATAATCTGTCAGTTTTTTTCTTCCGAATACTTTAATATTACTTCAAAATGAAAGGAAACTATTTCTATAAAATATGTCAGCCCTTCCAAGCAAATTTTTATCATTTTAAAATACTTTTTTTTTTTTTTTTTAAAAAAAAATCATGTACCTTCATCAACAGTTCAAAGATGGAATAACACAAGATATGATGAAATACATCCATTTATTTACATGATTTGCAGGTCTTTGAAATTTGGGAAATAATTTTTGTTCCATGTTTCATACATGGTCTGTTTAAAACGTATGTAACTTTAGAACCAAAAATGGTACAGAAAAAAGGTAAAAGTTTCATAAACTAGAGTACATATTCTATCTGTTGAATACATTTTTATATCAGATGCATTAACTTGAATTTTTGGCCTTGCTGTTTACTTCTGCTTGACCGGGCCCTAGTATAACATGGTTAAAAGTTCAGAGGTCAGTTTTGCACAATAGGTTTGTCTAAGATGAATATTGTGATTTAAAATGTCCAAATTCTAACATAATAATCCACAGGTCTCATAGATTTTAACTCTAGAGCAGACACAAGCACAATCGGTGTTCTGTAACATTTCACTTGTGTGTTCTTCTGTGTTGAGTGACTGTATCGTGTGTGTCCTCTTGTGCAGGTTTTCGGTGAACATTGGTCCGAATGAGAACAATATCGCCATACACGTAAACCCTCGCTTCAATTATGGCTGTGATCAGAACACTGTGGTGTGTAACTCGTACCAGTGCTGTGTGTGGGGCGAGGAGCAGAAGGAGACCAGCTTCCCCTTCAAGGCCGGACAAACGTTCAGGGTAAAAAGATCCCATGCAAAACACTGTTACTTTCAGTTCTTTCTACTGTTGGTTGGTTAAAAAAAAAAAAAAGTCTCACAGTATGGCATTAAACATATCAACACATTAAACATCTGTAATTGAATCGGAAAAAAAAAAGTCACACAGAGCATGTTGTTTGCACCACGCCCCTTTTACAGGGAAAACAATTCCTGAGAGCCAAAAAGTTCTGTCTTAGTGACCGTTGTTGTTCGCGTTAGACGTAAAGAGTTGATGAGCTGAAAATCTTGATTTAATTATAATTTTGTTCTTTAGTCTTCAAGAGACAAACAACTACAGTTATTGACTCTAATTTAACTAGCTAACTAGTTTACATTTGAGTCTGTGAGTCAAATAAACTATATTAAAATGAAAATGTAAAGGCAAAAATACAGCAAAACTATTTCTTACCTGGAGACTCATTGAGATACGAATAAATGTGCAGGTATGACACTTGTGGCTCTGAGTGGGGCTGTTGTTTTTTGTACATGCAAGACTGAAGGGGCATGTCTCATATTAACTGAATTAAGGTTTTGTACGTATCTTTCATGGTCAACGACCGGTTGTAATGTTGCAGTTGTAATGTACTGAGTAGTCATGTAGATTTAATTTGCATTAAACTTAATGAGAGGGGTCGTTTGTTACGTCTCTCATGAGTCAAGTTCCTGGATGTGCCGGTTTAATGTACATCCATAACAGAAAAATGAATGAGAAATTTACTTCCAGAACCGATGGTGATTTTAGAGCTCCATTGCAGTTTAATGCAATAACATGGAACATTACAGGCAAAGCAATAACAAGAAGTAGGTCTGTCTGTTTCACCATGTTTGTTTTTTGTTTTGGTTGACTTGGCGCTTTGTTGTTGACTTCTGCACTTCGACAATGTGATTGGTTCGCCCGACCAGGAGCTGGATTCTCATGAGTTTGTGAACTTACAAATATCATGAGAATCCATCAGGCTGCGCGAGGTTAAGAAGCACGACCCACCAGAAAAGTGACATAGGTGGAGTTAAAGGGACAGTCCGGAATTTTGGACATAGGGCCTCATTTTCTCACGAGCCAGAGTGTTGAAGACGTGTGGAGACACTTTTTAAAATATTTCATCCAGTCCTTGTATTTGCAGAGGTCGCTGGTGCTAGACTAGTGTATGTCAATGGTCATAGTTATCCTGCCACTAAAAACAGTCTTACCCACTCCACAAAACACTTGAAGCAAATCTATTATTACACCAAACTGTCGATGCGAATGTCTGTGTTGATAGAATAATGTTTGAAATAAAACTAACCTTGCATCGCATGAATGACTCAACCGAACAAGGATTCCGAGTCAGAATCCAAGATGGCTACGCCCACTGTGATGTGTAAATATGAAGTGTTTTCATTGTGTTTGGACACTTTGGTGGTTTAAATGACAATTTCACTCACTTGTATTACTGCAATACTTTACCAGGTCCGTATCACTGCCTGTGGGTTTGGTAGTCGTGTTGTTGTGAGGCCAATATTGAACAAATACTTGATTTATCAGGCGTTAACGTCCCTAAGGTTGTAATGGAAGAGAAATCATAACATAAAATGATGTACAAATTTCAAAAATTAAATAAGTTAAATTGGCAGCATTTTCATAAGATGAGGGAACAGTCATAATCATAATCCATGTAGCCCGACAAGCGAAACATAATAATACACTTCAAGCTCCGACGTGACGTCAAATCCGAGGTCCAAGTGGGAGTGGAAAGATAATCGAACACACGGTCAGTCCTCCAGGAACTGCCCAGTTATGCAGCTCTGTTTGAAATGTGCTTGTGGACGGAGTTTAGGTGTTTAGTCCCACTTTAAAGTTCTCGTACCTGGACCCACCTCTATACGTTCGATATCGTAGTTCCAAAAATTCTGAAACTTTTCTTTTACCATTTCAGATGATCATCAGGTTCAACCCGACTGAGTTCCTGGTGGTTCTCCCTGACTGCTCCTCCTTCAAGTTCCCAAACCGCCTGGGCCGAGAAAAGTACTCCGTGATTGGCATAGATGGAGACGCATGCATCACCAGCTTCGAGATCATATAAAAGTTCACATTTTTTATAAACATGTCTTGCTTTAAAACGCAGTAGGAAAGTGAAAGTCTTATGCAAAGTTTTATAATAAGTAACTCCGTGGACATGCTGTCACCCGGGTTTGATTGAGTTAATGAATTAAAGGTCCTATATTTCACAAAATTGACTATTGTGAGCTTTTAGTCATGTTAGAAGGTTGTCTAGTGAAGGTGTATAGAGTTTAAAAAACACAGTGGAGCACTTCCTGTATTACTACAAATCCATGTGAGAGAAGAACTCCGCAACCCTAACCCAGGATTTGTGCGTTAAAATATGTGATTGAAACAAAATACAACTCTAGGTGTGTTTTTGATGAGGAAGCAACATTATAACAAAGAAAATCAGAAAAATAGGTGTAAATGGGATTTTAAACAGAAAAGAAAATTTTGAAGCTTGCGTAGATAATTTGCTCTTTGATTTCAATTTCAAAGGTCCATTCTTTGTGTCGATCTGTTACTGTTCATTGGAGCTTCTGTTTAAGACTTGTATGTTTTGTCTCCAACATTCCGCAACGGTGTGAGTTCATTTGAATTGACCTGTAACAGTATAAAAACGTGCTCAAACTGAATTCATTGTCTTGTTTTATTGCGGCGACGGACAAGACTGTGGAATATTGTTGACGCTTTGCAGCTGATGTCGTCAAAGTTCACTGGAGGTGTGACGCTACATGTGTGTCTGAGGCTTTCTTAGACTTTAATCTGAGCTTTGTTTTAGCACAATCTGACCAGAAAAAACTGACTTAGGTAACATTTACACTGAAATGAATCACCATATCACTGTATTGGAAAATTTGCGTCCAGACACGTCGTTTCTGTGTCCGTTCCCTGTCCACACAGTAATGTGAAGCTGCCTGAAAAACTAGTCACATGACTTGGTTGGCGTCACGTCGTCCCGCGGGCGGTAAAAATAAGGAAGTAAAAATGTCTGAAGTTGCAGCAGCCAATTTAGAGCTGAGGAAGATGGCCAGCATGAAAGTAGTAAGTAGTTCTATCTACGCTGTACACATATGTAGAACCTTTCCCTAACGTGATGTCGCTGCAAAGTATCAGTGAACAACATGATCATGGAAACAAGCAGGATAAGGCCCTCCTCCAGCCCAAGTAAGAGTCAGGTTTGTGGAGATGCAAGCCTGCTCAGAGTCAGGATTATAATCATGATAAATAATAATAATAAAAATATTATGTTATATATCAATTAACAATGGTTTAAAAAACAAAAAGCTTTTATGGTAATCTCTTAGGGTAAAAAGTTACATACTATAGCTTAGTTAAGGAAACACTGAGAGGCAAGAGAAAAAAAAAAGACCCAGGTCATTTGGGCTCTATTTTCTAAGTGTTGTTTTTTCACAAACTTTTTTTTTTTTTTTCTACAAAAAAAAAAAAAAAAATTCTAAAAAAGAAAAAAAAAATTCTAAAATTGTTTTTCCAATTTTTTTTTCTACAAATGTATATATATATATATATATATATATATATATATATATATATATATATATATATATATATATAATATATTATAGCTTTAGTTGTTGTTGTACTTTGTTGATGTGCTCCTGTTTAGCTTATGTGGCAAAGGACTGCAGTATCGCGTAAAGGGGTCGGCATTTGAGTTTTAAGGTAGATGACTTGTTTTTTTGTCTTTGCTTGTGTTTTCCTCATGGAGTGGCACTCAAAGTGCCCCTGGTTTAGTCCTTGTTTAGTCCTGGTTTAGTCCTGGTCCCCTCATGTCTCAGGTCACTGTAGGACAGTACTGTAGATATCATGAGCCTATTGCAGGTTGTTTTTACCATTGCCAATGACTCCGGTTTGACATTTAATTTGTATCCCGATGAGCTCCTCTCACCAGGCATGTTTGCTTGGAGCATACCCTACTCCCGTGTTGGACAAGAGCGGTTTTACGCACACCTCCAAAAGTCGCTTGTGAATGTTGTAATAACACAAATATCCACACAAATCCCATCTGCGTCAGGGCGCACCTCAGTTCCACTAAAATCTGAGAGGCAATGCGGCATCCTGTCTTCCAGCCTGGAGCTTTTGTGAGCCAGAATGAACACGTATGTAACAAGGAGCACATGAGATTCAAACCCCAGCCTCCCACGTCCTAACCTAGAGCCTAACAGCATGAGCTAATCTTCCACTAGGTTGCCAACACTGAAGTTTTCTACTTACAAGAATAAACTGGAAAAAAATGGTCTGAGCAATGTTTTTTGAGTTGGTGGAAAAAAAAACAAAAAAAAACAATTAGAAAATAGAGCCCAAATTATCTGCCTCTTTTTCTTTCTTTTTTTTTTCTCTCTTGCCTCTCAGGGCTTCCGTACTTAGTAGAAGTCTGCATATAGAAAATATTCTGAATATGAACTCTGTTTCTAATAGATGTTAGAGCTCCTTCTGATGTCAGCAAAGGGAATGAACAATGAAAAAACAAGTACTCATCCCCCTTGAATTTTGTGTCAACATAAAATAAATTTTGTGATAGTTCATGGGCTTAAAAATTGCACAGGAGAAGTCTGGATTTTTACGCAAAAATCCAAGCAAAACGCGAACTGAGAATTTTTGAGGCACAGAAAAGATGATTTTTCAATAATGGATTAACGAAACAAGCGAGAATGAAGCAAAATACAACTGCTGGTATGTTTTTGACGAGAGGACAACATTATGACATGGCTTAAAGAAAAAAAAAAAAAAAAAAAGATCCACAGACACACACGTAGACCTGCTGTACAAGAGTTCACCACCAGATGTCACCATTTCCTCATGGAAGTCTATGGAGCTGCAGAGCTGAATTGCGAGTTTTCTGCCATAAACTGCAACGTCTATCATTTTGAGACCTTGCAAAGATAAAAGAAGTAATCATCGATAGTGGTGTA